CCTTTGTCCCACGACAAAGGTGACTTCATTAGATGGTGGGAAAGCATGTGTGTTAATCCTCTGACACCATTGTAATTTGGCATATTCAACTTCTGGATTTGTGTTCTCTGTATACCAGATGTGAAACTTCCTTCAATTAAGCCATTGACCCCCTCATCATTTTTTGAACAAGAAGATTAAAATCACGACAAAAATAAGATTAGAGAATAGTGATTTCTTCAGTGAACCTAACTGTAAAATTAATTCAGTGCACAGAAAAAAATTCAAGGACTTGAAGTAACTTCCGAATGTACCGCTCTGTGTGCTAGTGCAACACGGCGTGGTCTAGGGACCCCCGAGGTTCCACGAGGACAGAATTATTGTTGTAATAATTCTAGGTGGCAGTTTCACATAAAAATGTCTTACTGCAGTCGAGGCATCTGGGAGGCTCAGTCAGCTCCGCGTCCAACTCTTCATCTTGGCTCAGGTCATGCATGATCTCAGGGTCGTGAGACTGAGCCTGCTTACAGCCTGCTTACAGTTCTCTCTCTCCCTCTTCCCCTGCCCCTCGTCTTCCTCTCTCTTAAAAAAAAATGTCTCGTAGCAGTAAAAATTATTATATTAAAATCTCAGCCCTTGAGGGCACCTCTTTAATATTCACATGATGAAATGGGAAGTATAGATAGAGTCCCTTTACATCCCCGAGAAAGTGATTGTCAGGTTATCTCAGGGCAAAGATTTAGGAAATAATGGGACTATATCCCAAGGATAGAAAGAACTACGAAAGAATCCCCTCCCACCCCCACTGAGTCCTCTTTAATTCCTTTTGTGGAAGTGATTTCTGTCAACAGTTGGGCACAGACATCTTTTGTCCCTTTATGTGCGTGAATGTACAAGGAAAAATGTGCATTCATGGGTTTTGGTGCTTTCTGCCACTGTTTGTTTTTTAATTAACATATATTATTTGCCCCAGGGGTACAGGTCTGTGAATCATCAGGGTCACACAATTCACAGCACTCACCATAGCACATACCCTACCCAGTGTCCATAACTCAGCCACCCTATCCCAACCCCCCACACCCCAGCAACCCTGTTTGTTTCGTGAGAGTAAGAGTCTCTTACCAACACCTAGGTTCTTTCCATAGTTTGGCTGCTGTGGGCATGGCTTCTATAAACATTGGGGTGCACGTGCCCCTTCAGATCACTACGTTTGTATCTTTAGGGTTAATACCTCGTAGTGCAATTGCTGGGTTGTAGGGTAGCTCTATTTTCAACTTTTTGAGGAACCTCCATGCTGTTTTCCAGAGTGGCTGCACCAGCTTGCATTCCCACCAACAGTGTAGGAGGGTTCCCCTTTCTCCGCATCCTCGCCAACATCTGTCGTTTCCTGATGGGTTAATTTTAGTCATTCTGACTGGTGTGAGGTGGTATTTCATTGTGGTTTTGATTTGTTTTTCCCCTGATGCTGAGTGATGTGGAGCCCTTTTTCACGTGTCTCTTGGCCACTTGCATGTCTTCTTTGCTGAAATGTCTGTTGGTGTCTTCTGCCCATTTCTTGATTGGATTATTTGTTCTTTGGGTGTTGAATTTGATAAGAACTATGAAAGAGGGGCGCCTGGGTGGCTCAGTGGGTTAAAGCCTCTGCCTTCAGCTCAGGTCATGATCTCAGGGTCCTGGGATAGAGCCCCGCATTGGGCTCTCTGCTCAGCAGGGAGCCTGCTTCCTCCTCTCTCTCTCTCTCTCTCTCTCTCTCTCTGCCTGCTTCTCTGCCTACTTTTGATCTCTCTGTCAAATAAATAAATAAAATCTTAAAAAAAAATAAAGAACTATGAAAGAATCTTAAACTTGATTGTCATTGATGGTTATTGGTAGTGGTGTTGATGGTAAAGTTTGAAACTGTTTTGTGTGTCTTATAGGTAAAGCAAATGGGTAAGTGGGGTAAGTGTATGCAAAATACTGAGAGTTGGAGCTTTCATTGTGAGAAAAGGGAAATAATCTGGGATTGAGGGAGGTGAGGAAGAATCCTGATTTTGGATTTGAATTCAAGGTGTTATTGTGAATGTGTGATTTAAGACATTTAAAATATCATTACCCTGTCCAGTCAGAACTTAGAAGCAATGATACTTAACTAGCAAGGAGTGTACCAAGTCCTCACCTCTGATTTCTCAATGCCCGTGCATTTTGGGAAAATGGCTGATCCAGGGTCTGGGGCAGGGGAAGTTTAAGGCTAGCTTGGTACACTTGTGCCAGAAAGCAAAGAGTTATGCAAAGACAATTAGGATTATGTCAAAAGGACATAGCAGTTGGCTTGAAGGAGCTACCATTGGCCAAATTTAGGATAATTTAAGCATCAGAAAGAATGGTGACAGTAATTAATTATATAGCACATTGAATTAAAAAAAAATACCATGAATCTATATGGGAGCAAGAGAAGCAGAGAGAGGGAGGGGGATAGCAAGAGAGAGTGTGTATTGTATTATAGAAGAATGCCAGCTAATACATGAAGAACGAATAGAATGTGAAAATGACCATTTTGGAACCTCTCATGTGTAGTAATTGATTCAGGTAAGAGCTGTCAATGGATGCTGAAACCACTGAGTGAATTGTTATCAGGGGGAAGGATAGTCATAGAATGTCAAACATCACCCTACTTACTTCATGCTAAATACAGAGAGGAAAAGGTATTTTTGCTAAGGAGAAATAGGACACATCCCACCTTAACATGTTGATCAGAGAGCATCACCACTAAAAACCAGAGAGAGCCAGACATTATGTGCTTTTTTTCTTTTCTTTTTTTTAAGATTTGTTTATTTACTTGACAGAGATCACAAGTAGGCAGAGGGAGGGAGGGAAGCAGGCTCCCCGCTGAGCAGAGAGCCTGATGGCTGGGCTTAATCTCAGGGCCCTGAGATCATGACTTAAGCCGCAGGCAGAGGCTTAACCCACTGAGCCACCCCAGGCACCCCATTATGTGCTCTCTAAGTGAAGAATGTGGTACTACCTATGAAGTAGTCCTCACTTTGTCAGAAAGAAGAACTTGAATCTGACTGAGCCTGTAACTTCAACTACCAAATCATAGGAAATCTGTGGGGACATAGGAGTTTATTAAATACCATCTTGCAGCTGCAACAAACAGACACAAACCCCAAACACAAACTTCCAGACTTTTGCAAACTCCACAGAAGACCCAGTTTCTTCAAAAATAAGTTGCCAAAGGGAAAAAAAAAGGGACACATGAGAAAAGACTTAATAGAGCTATTGACCGGTGTACGGAGCTTATTCAGATCATGATACAAATGAGTTAAAAAATATAAGTTAACAGAACTGTGAACACAGACTCTGTATTTGCTGGTGATACAGGGTGAAATGATACTGTATCTTCATTTGCTTCAAAATAATTTGGAAGGAGGGCAGTTGGGTAGGGCTACAGATGGGGGAAGATTAGCCATGGGCACAGAACTGCTTCGGGGTCCACGTGTGTGTTCATTGTACTGTCCTGCCTACGTAGGGTTTGGTTTGAAAATTACATAATTACATTAACACTAATTAATAGGAGATCATCTAATATTTTGTGTCTCTTTATGCATTGCATTGAGAACTGCATGTCAATTGTATAGAATTGTTGCCAGAAATAGTTTACTTAAATGTATCTGGAATCAATCAGATAAGCTCAGAATGTATGATATTTGATAAGGCTGTTGTCTTGGGCTATTCAAATGATGTCAGTGTCATGAAAAGCAACAAAAAATACTGTCATAAAAAATACAATGCATGATCTTGACATCTTGGGGACAGTTGCAGACATTTAAATATAAACTTGTAGTAAATGATATTATTGAATTAATGTTAATTCTTTTAGGTAAGATTATAGTTTTGTGGCTCTATAGGGGAATGTTTTTATTCTCAGGAGAAGGGTGCTAAAGTATTTTAGGGTGAATTAGTATGATGTCTGCACTTTACTTTAAATATACACAGGTTGTGCCTGGATGGCTCAGTTGGTTAAGCGGCTGCCTTCAGCTCAGGTCGTAATCTCAGGGTTCTGGGATTGAGCCCCACGTGGGGCTCCCTGCTCCATGGGGAGTTGGCTTCTCCCTCTCCCGTTTGCCCTTTCCCCTTGCTTGTGTGCATTCATTCTCTCAAATAAATAAAACATTTAAAAAAAATAGATATACGTGGATTAAGTTGGCTCATACTAACTGGCTGTTTCTCTAGGTCACAAACTGAAATACTAGCAAATGCCTATGGTTCCACTTAATGTTTGTTGAAAGAAAACAAACGTGGTGACATGGGGACTCCTGTGAAGAACATAGAGATGTGTGTACCATTCCTTCACCTTACTCTGGGTTCGAACTTTTTCAAAATAAAGAGTTGGGAACAAGTGGGTAGTCAGCATATGAAAATGAACTCTGAACAGATACACAGTTGTTAGATGATGTGTGCTGACAACATTCTTGGAATATTTGCCTATAATAGCGTTTATATTCTCTTGGAATTCTGAAACTACTGATTGAGAATATAGACAAGGAGCAAAAAGGTACTTATTTCGCTGTATGGATTTCCATGTCTGAATCAGCAGATGATGAAGAGCAGAAAAATGAAAGAGCTGCAGGTGGAAATGAAAAAAACCTTAGTAATATCTTATGTTGACATAGATAACAATTTAAAGACATCCACTGTAGGGGAAAAATAGATTGTTGGTTTCTCAAAACCCAATGATTGTTTATTTTTTGTGAAGAGATGACACATGGCTTGTGTTAGGTCTGGCCTTGACATTCTCTCTGGGTCTGGCCTTGACATTGTCTGTAAGATGGGATACGTCTCTGGGGTTTGAAAACACTCTTGTCCTTCCCTACCCCACCTTCTTTTGTTGCCATGAGGAATCCACTGAAACGCATTCTGCTCCGGGGTTACTGGGCAGATCGATAGAGCTAGAAGATGCTAATCCCTCCTGCTCTCTAGAAAATTTAAGTGATGATAACAGCCCCTGGTTTCATCCTTCTTCTTTTTTGAATCCGAAACAGGTCCCTAAAGAAGTGGCTGACATCTTTAACGCCCCCAGTGATGATGAAGAGTTTGTTGGTTTCCGAGATGATGTTCCCATGGAAACCCTCTCATCAGAGGAGAGCTGTGATAGTTTTGACTCACTGGAGTCAGGGAAACAGGTACGGATGGTTCCTTTCATGGAAGGCCTGGTCCGAGGGAAGCCTGGATCTTGGTTCTGATACTCTTTTATTTGAATTTGGTCTGAGATTGGTGATCGTGGTTAACTGTCGAGCATTTGTTTTATAAGTGTTTTGCCTTCATGTTTCAAGAGCCAGGGAGAGTACCTAGATCATTTTACTGTTCAAGCCCTTTCTGTGTATGACATACATATATATATTTTAAAGGGGCCTCACATGATCAGATGCATTTTCTTTGCAACCTCAGGGTTGCAGCCTGTGTGGAGCCTGCACTCAAAGAGTTCCGGGCTGGCCGGCAGGAGAGGCTGGGCCCGCACACCACCAGTCCATACCGCAGTCCGGAGCGGGACCTCGCAGTTACCCTGAGCCAGTCCCTAGGCTCCTGGAGCGTGATTCTCTCAGCACCTCACGCTTGGAATTGCCAGGGAGGGCGTTACTCTGGCGTTACTCTTCCTTGGATTACTTGGCTCTCTGGCAAACACAAGAGACATTTCTCTGAGAGTTAGTTTCCTAGAGGGTTTTCTTGTGCCTCAGCGGGAGCATGGCCAGTCAGAATCACCAGCCTTTGGTGGCCTTTTCTTTAATATCATTGTGGCTGTCAAAATTCTTCATTCTCCCTTGACCTCGGCTTCTCTTACAAGGCTGTAAATTAAGCCCACCTGGCTTTGACTGGGCAGGTGCAGGAGGAGAAGCAATTGATTGTATAGGGAGGTGCCTGCTTGCTGGCTGGGCTGCCTGTGCGTGTTCTGGCCTCTGTGGGAGTTGGTCTTGACCGTGTTGAGGGGCCTCCCCCGTCTCTGTCCTCTGCACTTGACGTGCTGTCTCATTTGACCCACTCACCACCTGCTGCTTCTCTGCTTGGTCTCTTCCCCTTTCTTACGTGTTTCATACTTCATCCTCTCTTTTCTCTCCCATCCCCATTTGTGGATGTGGTTCAAGATTTTGTCTTCAGACCTTTTCTCTTAGTGATCTAGGGACTGGCCTGCTTTCAGCCATTATCTGCATGTTCTTGATGGCTTGACTTCCCTCTCAGGCCCCACACATACGGATATAGTCTGACTGCCAGTCGGACCAGTCTTGATCAGGGGAGATCTCAAACTCACCGTTTTCCTTCCTTGGTTGTCCGTTTGTCTTCCTCATTTTTATCTCCATCTTTGGTATTCGTGACCCCTCCCCTTCCTCTCCCATCTGCCAACTCCCTTGCAGGCACCTGTGACCCTTCTGCCATGTTGCTCGTCTCCGTCCCTTCCCCTCCCTCCCTTCCTCTGTTCCCCTGGTCCTCCTAACCCTTACCTCAGTGTCGAAACTGAGCTCTGGTCATGCTCCTTGCCTTATTGAGAAGCTGTTTGAGCATGGTGAGGCAGTGAGGGAGAGTGGCGCCCTGGGGTCCACCATGAGGGCCATTCTGAGCAGCGCAGGATGGGCACGAAGACATCATGAAACAACGCAATGTCCCTACCTTGGCTATTGTAAATAATGTAAATAATGCTGCAATAAACACAGGGCTGTTAAAGTAGTGTTTTGGGGTTTTTTTTTTTGGGAGGGGGGTGTATACCCAGTAGTGAAATTACTGGATCATAGGGTAGCTCTATTTTTAATTTTTTGAGGAATCTCCGTACTGTTTTCCATAGTGGCTACACCAACTGACATTCCCGCCAGTGCTGCACGAGTAAATCCTTTTTCTCCACGTCCTCAACACTTACTTCTTGTCTCTTTGATTTTAACCATTCTGACAGGCGTGGGGTGATACCTCAGTGTGGTTTTGATGAGCGTTTTCCTGATGATTACATAGGGGAGCAACCTAAGTGTCTATCAGTGGAAGAATGGATAAGGAAGATGCTGAGTATGTGTACAATAGAATATTATACAGCCATAAAAAGGATGAGGTTTTTGCCATTTGCGGCAACATGGATGGGTTTAGAGGGTATTATGCTATGTGAACTAAGTCACACTGAGGAGGACAAATACCATATAGTTTCACTCTTGTGGAATCTGAAAAATAAAAAGCAGAATAAGACCTATAAATTCAGAGAACAAACTGTTGGTTGCCAGCAGGGAGGGGGGGTAGGGAGATGGGCAAGATGGGAAAGGGGAGTGGGAGGTACAGGCCTCCAGTGACATAGCGAATAAGTCATGGGGCGGAAAAGGCACAAAGGCACAACACAAGGACTCTAGTCAATGATACTGTAACAGAGGTGTATGGTGACATATGGGAGCTACACTAGCGAGCACAGCGTAAGGTACAAAGAAGGTGGAACACTGTGTTGTACACTGGAAACTAATTAACACTCTGGGTCAACTAGATTCAAATATGGAAATTTAAAACAAGCCAAAGCAGCTGCTTTTGCTGCTCTGGGCACTGTTCCTTCTGTGCAGTCAGACCTGCCTTTCCTGCTCCCCCTGCCGGGGTTGGGGGGCTGTGGACGGGGACTCCAGTGTGCCTGAGATGGCCCGTGACCGTGTGCTTTTGTATAGCTTGCCCTGAACGCACGCGCCTCCCGGGGACAGTGGAGGTGTTGTCATCATCCTTGTTTCACAGGGGATGAAACTGAAGCTCAGGGCAGTGAGGTGACGTGTCTAAGCCCCCATGTCTGAGAAGTGTCCAGGTCAGGATGTTGGAGATCTGGAAGCATAACTTGGCAGCCTCATCCCTCTCACTGCTCCCCTTTGCTGCAGGGGACCCGAAGCCGCACAGGGACCCGAAGCCGCACGGGCACCCTCCGCATACATCAGTCCACCTGCCGTAGGCACTGGGCTGTGCTGTTCATTCTGCTTGTGTGTCTCCTCATTTTTCTGGAGTCTGCCCCCGTTCGCATGCAGTTCAAATGCTGCTGCTGCTGCTTGAAGTTTTACTAGATTTTCTTCCTTTTTTTCTTTTCTTTTTTCATTCTTTTCTCTTCTCTTCTTTTTTTCTTTTCTTTACTTTCTGTGCCATATTGCTCGTGTCTCCTTTGTCACACTGATCCTCACCTCTGTCCCACTGCCCCACTAAACCGTTAATCTCCGCGGTGGGAGGCGCCCCATACGTGACCGATGCCTCCCAGCTTTCTTGGTTTGGACAGCTTCCGCATGCTGTCCCTTTCCTCATGTTCCATGCGTTCAGTGCCCATTGGTGAATGAGCCCCCTCGGGGTGGAATTGAGGTGGGAGGCCGGTCTGACGGGCTCAGCTCACCATCATTTTCCAGTCGGTTTCGTCCCGTCCCATGAGCTTCAAAATAAAAAGTGTACGTGCTCTGTCAGCAGCTCTTCTCATCTGTTACTTGCTTTACGTTCTTGATCGTGGGAGATGGATACAGGGGAACCTGGCCAGAGCATACTGCCTACTACTGACTTGAAAGGGTCACAAATTCTGGAGAGCAAAGAGCTGTGTGAGCGTTGTAACCAAGACCGCAGTGAGACCGACCATGGAGTGGATATTTTGCTTTATACACACTCACGTTAAGAACCATTTTTTTTGTTTTTTGTTTGTTTTGTCTTTTAAGTTGGCTCCATGCATAGCGTGGAGCCCAGAGCGGGGCTTGAACTCAAAACCCTGAGATTAAGACCGAGATGAGAGGCAGACGGTTAACTGACTGTGCCACTCAGGTGCCCCCAGAACAGTTTTCACAGCTTGTGGAATGAGGAGGAGAAAAGCAGGGGCCTTGGTTTAGGACTGTGGCTGAGTTCTTTCTGGGTTTGAGCTGGTCACCAGGGATACCAGTTGCTCCCAGGCTGACCGCCCCCTGTGAGGCCAGCTCAGTGAGTGAAGCGAGCCAGAGGACGGAAGGCTGGAGCTTGCTGCTCTGCGATGTGACTTGTTCTCTCTGGGCCCGAGGCAGGGACAGTGGGTCTATGACAGAATGGACACAGAGACCCCATTGCCCTAGAGCCGCCTGCAGAAGCCAGCTCCGGGCTCCGTGAGCCGGATGTTTCCTGCCCTGGCACGTAGCAGGCTCCTGGTGGCTTTCTGTGGCAGCCAGCCGTGTCCTGGTCTTCCTTAAAAATCAGCCTGGCCCCTGTTGCTTCTCCTCCCTGACCCCATACGTGCATGATGCATGTTAAGCAGCCAAGAGAAGCCGCACGGACTTGCACACAGCATGCAGCAGGGTTGACTTTGGTCTTTCATAAACACCATTTGAATTTCACTTTAAAGAAACTTCCCTTTTGTGTTTGTTTGTTGTTGTTTTTTTTTTTCCCCAAGCAGCTGCACCACAGCTATCAACAAAGAAACAAAATAATTTAGCTCCAAGCACACTCATTCCAATTACCCATAATAATTCATAGGAGACATTTAAGCTCAAAAAAATGCTAGATACAGACATTTCTTTCTCCATCCCCCTGTAAATTTTCCCACTCATCTATTAGATCTATTTTTCTCCAGAGATGATGTGAGCTTGAAGTAGTATATAATTAAAGTCAGGGAGAGGCAGTGGGGGAGATACAGATTCTCCATCCAAATGTGGTGCGAGGAGGGGTCATTGCTATATCGGGTGCGGGAGGAAGAGACGTTAGAGGCAACTGGGGACAATGACTCCAGCCTTGGTTGCCAGCTTGGAGGAGGCCGGTCTGGGGGTCTCCTTTCCGCAGTGCAGGTCTGTTGGTTCCCTCCTTTCTGTCAAGAAATCCATTTAGAGAGCCTGGTTCCTTGCCTTTTACTGGTTCAAAAGACAGAAAAAGTCATTTGAAAATGTCTTTCTTTTTTAAGCATCCTAGAGCATCTTTCTTTCTGCTCACTTGCTACCTGTCTGTGGTTGCTGGCCTCCCACCTCCTGCAGGACAGGCTCTCCTGGGGGCTGGGAGGGTTGACGCTCCCATCCTCCCCTGCCCTGGGCAGTCAGGGTGCAGAGGCGGCTTTCTCAGCAGGGGGCATGGAGGGGTGTGAAGGGCTCTGGCCCTTTACTGCACAAAAACTTGCTGTCTCTGGAAGCGAGGCAGGCTGTGCTCACTGACTTGGGGGAGCCGGCTCTGGACAGCTGCTGGGAGGGAGAGTCGGCCTATGGCCGGGAGCCAGGGCTGCTCCCCGTGGCTCCTTCCCATGTGTGTTCGGTTCTGTGTGAGAGCACATCTTCCTGAGGGCCAGCCCCGGCAGGAGGAGCCGAAGTCCATTGCTACTCACCAGCCACAGAAGCAGCTGGCTGAGCCCGTGGCCATGCTGATTCTTCGAAAGGGTGTAGTTGTTTCACATTGTTCAGTTCTGTTTCTCTAATCTATAGAAAGATGTGTGTGTCTACGGGTGTGTGTTCGGTTATTGCAGTAGAATATACATAGCATAAAATTTCCCATTTCACCATTTTTTAAGTGTGGGCGAGTGTCCAGGTTCATACCAGGGAGATGCTCCGTGGCGTCAAGGACATGCACGGGGTTGCACAGCTGTCCCCATGACCCAGAACGTTTTCATCCCCTCGAACAGAAACTCCCCGTTAAACAACTCTTCACTTCCCCTTCGCCCCCTGGTCACCTCTGTTCTTCTTTCTTTATGACATTTGTGTTTTTTAATTTAGCAAGATGTACGTTTCCATTCCAAATACTTCTCGGAAGAGCTAAGAAGAATTTTTATAGAGGACACTGACTCAGAGACGGAAGAATTTGAAGGATTTACGCAGAATGACCTGAATGAAAGTAGTAACCCAGAGGTCATGGTAAGAATTATCAACGCGGGAGAGTGTGGGTTTTCATATTTTCTGTCCTGTTTCTGAATTGTATTTTCTTGTAAGAAGTCACTTCGTAAATGAATGACTTTTTCTTACATGTTTATCTTCTAAGCCGGTTAACAAAATATAGAATTGGCTATTCTAATTCCTGGCCCACCAGTCCCTTATTCTCCTACAGGAAATCCACTTGTCTTTCCCTGGTACCTTAGGGGTTTGGGGGGACATATCTCAGGTGTCCCTTACTGTCCTTCTGAAAGAATTTATTTTAGACTTTTGGGAACATCTTTTATCTGGAAAGAGGACCGTCTATCTAGGAGTAGCAAGTTCCTTAAAGTCATTTCTTGTGTGTCAAGTCATGCTCTTGGGTTTGGAGTTAATTTGGCCAAAATGTAGCTATGGTACAAACTTAGAGTTTTCCCTGTGTATTCTTGGTTTGGATGTGGAAATGCTCTTTCAGTGATAAAAAGGACCTTGTCTGACTGCTGAGGGAGGTCTGCTCTCAGCACTTGACCTTCAGGAGACTTGATGATTTCTTCCTTCACTCCCCATGTTGAGGCCAGTGTACTGCCAAGTTAGTATTGGACTCTCCGGGTACCTTTAAAGAACAACCTTTGGGTTTTTTCCAGGCATCAAAGTGTCTTCTGCTAACTGAAAAATAGCATCCATGTACCCACCCAAATCAGCCCACTGTTTCCTTCTTTGGTATCAAGATAAAGGATGGAGGTTAAACCTCTTCCCATTCAGAAGCTCCTAAGGAACCACGGCTGGCGAGCTGGCATGGAACTTGGGTAGAAGTTTAAATATGCTGTGCCAAGTAGGTTTGTACCAAACCTACTTTGGAGGTCTGGCTGGCCAGCCTCCGGTTTTTTGCCGGCAAGACACTTAACTAAAATCCTTCCAGACCCTAATGGGTATTGTCTACTTTTAGTGACTGACTTGTCTTCTGATTTTTGGCTAAGTGAGGTCAGGTGATTCAGAGAATCTGTGTTCCTAGCACTGGGAAGACTACTCCAAAGGTTTCTTTCCCCCTTTATTCATGGTCTATACATTTGGGGTACGAATTGTGACCTGCTGATTGATAGAACTCATAGCTTAGGGCAGGTCCACCTATAAATTTGGTTTTCCCAGGCAGCGAGCCAACACGTGTTACTGTCTCCCTCCCCCACCTCCCGCCCACCGTAGTGAGGACTGGAGAGACCACATTCTCTGACAGTAGGATGTTATCCCCTGGTGTCTGATGGACCTCCAGCTGTATGTGAAGCCGCCACATACAGGTTGGAGGATGATACAGATAAATCCAATCTGAGAGAGATTTCCTCTGAAGCTCTCCAACACTGTCTTCCTAATATTGGATTTCTCCAGTCCCACCATTTGGATTCTAAAGTTACTGATGTAGAAAGTTCAGGATACCCCCCCAAAAAAAAAAAAATCAGTACACTGTGGTCTTATTTCTCTCCTTGGCATGTTGTGGATTGATACATATCCCAAGATTTGGAAGCTATCTGCACGTTGCCCCCCACTTTCCTTATTTATTTTTTAAGTAGGCTCCAGCCCAGTGTGCTTGAACTTATGACATGGAGATCAAGTCCTGAGCTGAGATCGAGTTGGACACTTAACCGACTGAGCCGCCCAGGTGCCCCAATACATTTTTTAGGTTTTTTTTTTTTTCTTCTTTAAAGTAGGCTCCATGCCCAGTGTGGGGCTTTAAGTCACGACCCTGAGATTATGAGTCACATGCTCTGCCAACTGAGCCAGCCAGGTGCCCGTCCTCTGCCTTATTTTTAACTTGAGTCCAGCTAGAATTTGGGGCGTGGGGGAGTCACCGAGGAGGAAGCTGTCATTTACCTCAGTAAATGGTTTTACCTGGGGCCGTTGTGGTGCTGCTCCCTGTTCTCCTCACAGCGGCCCTGTTGTCCAGAGTCCCTGAGAGAGGGTCTTTGCATGTAAAGGAAAGATGCCCCGGATGGGGCCTTGATCTCCATAGTCAAGCCTGTGTCTGTCATTGTTAAGAGTCCCCTGGCATCTGAGATGTCATCGGTCGCACCTGGGTAACGTTACCCTGCCATTGCCTTCTGTGTTCTCATGTGTAAGACTGAGTTCCATTTTAATGCCAGAAACCCGTATCAAGCAGAATCAGATAATTGGGGGTGAGAGTTTCTTGAGCTGATAGAACAGGCCTCACAACAACCCAAGAGCTGTCTGCCTTGATGTCCCCCTGCGGCTCCATGGATTGCAGAACAGGGAGAGGACGACCCTGGCAGGGAGGACCTGTCATGTCCTGGGGATAAGGCTCCCCCACTGACCCCACTGGCCCATCATCTGCTTGCTCCTCTGTCATTGGCTGAGGTGAGGTCAGCTCTCCTGTCCCCTCTAGAAGCCCTGTTCCTCCCGTTCAGGGCAGAAGAGTATTTGTCTTCCCCGAGCGCTCCATTGTTACCTGACGCTAACGCTTACACCACGCACAGCCTTTTCTTTGGCCAGTTCTCCTAATACTCCGCCGTTGCGCAGTGGAGGAGCCCTCCTTTGTGAGCGCCCCGCTTCCAGCCCATGCTCCAAAGGCGGCAGTCCGCCGGGGGCCGGGGCCGGGCCAGAGGGCAGCAGGAGAATGCCTGCTCTCCACCAGATGCCTCAGCAGAGCACCTCACTGAGAGTTCAGCAGGAGCTCACAATAGGAAGGGGGAGCTTGCTTCTCGTCTTTTCTCTGCAGTAATGACGGAGTGCTTTTAAATGACATGTTCTGGGAGGTCTGTCACAAAACACGGTCTCTGCTCTTCTCTTTGGTTTTGTTAGCTTGTGGAGTCAGATCTGAGTGATGCGGGTAAGACGTCTTCAGTGAGTGAGGAAGAGGAGGAGGACGAAGGAGCAAAGGCTACACCTAGAAGAAGGAGGCCCAGGAGGAGCAGTATCGGTCTTCGAGTAGCCTTTCAGTTCCCCACCAAGAAACTGGCAAAAAAGTCAGACGACAATTCTTCGGAGCCGCCGTTTTCTAGCACACGCTTACAGGACAGTAAAAAAGCCATTCTTGGAAGAAAGAGAAGCTGCAGACAGGGGAAGCAAAGAGAGGATTCGGTCTCGGAGTCCGAGGACGAGTCCAGGGATGAGGGCCAGGAGGGCTCGGATGCTCTGCTGAAGAGGACCATGAACATCAGGGAGAACAAAGCCATGGTAAGGCCCTGCAGTGGGCTGTCCGGGGCTCCGGGGCTCTGGGGCTCTGGGGCTGCCAGGGCTCCAGGCAGCCCTGGCTGCCTTCAGGAAGTGTCCCTGGGTATTGGGTGTCCTTCCTCTCTTCCTGAACCCCCAGCCAGTTGACACTGGATGAGCTGTGGCTTGGAAACAGAAAGCCAGCCTTCGGGACGATTTTCAGCTCCTTGTCCTAGTGCGGTGACCTCTTGCTACTTCCTGTCTATTAGAAAGTTAAGTTTCCACGAGGTGGTGGTATTGGAGAGGGGAGGGCTGAACAGCTGGCAGTCCCCCAGCAGAGAGGAGCCGATGTGGATTGGGTGTGGAGGAGCCCACGTAAGGGCTGTGGTGAGCAACTTGCAGCGAGAAGTCCCTTGATGACCCCCTGGGGCTTCAGGACCTCAGATGAGGGAATGCAGGAGGCCTCAGTATTACACTGAGCAGGTGTGAATCACGTGAACAAGTCTTCCCAGGAATGAATGGTGACGCAAGGGGAAATCGTTGTTTTGTGTGTTTGGTTTTTCTATATTTGGTCACTAACTTGTTGACTTCGTAATTCTGCATATACAGAATTAGAATTCTGCCATTCAGTTACTTTTAGCATTTTGGAATATTTCTAATATTTTCTTTTTAAAAAGCATAATATGATACCATATATACGCAGACTTAGATGTCTAGTAAGAAAATAAAAAGCCTCCTTTTGAGTGTAGCTTATCCTAAGACATATTTGTGATTAGCTAAGGGAAATTTTTAGCACTGTATCTGCATTTTTAAAATAACTATATTCGTGAATTTTTAATGACACCTGTACATTTGTTTAAATCTAAAATTAAAAATCTGAATTGATTGGAATAGAATATTAATGCCTGTTATTCGGTGTTCTTAGGTTCTTATGAAAATGGGATTATTTTCACAAGTTATTTTTCTAATGAAAAATAAATCAATCTAAACAGGTTTTTTTGAGCTCTAAGTAACTGTCCGAACAGTCAAGTTGAACCTCTTGTTTTGAACCTGACAAAACATGACTTAGCTGTGCACGATGATCTGTTCCAGGGGTCACGCTGCTCGTCAGGGGCGCCGTCAGGAGTCCCACCTCCTGCAGCCAGCCACCTCATTCCAGGGGCCCGTTCATCATGTGCTGTGACGACCTTTATATATAAAGAATGGGTATAGATTTTATTCCTATGAATGATGATCCCTGCGTCTTCCCTCTGGAGGTAGAAATCTTTACATACGAGGTCAAAAACACAGCAACTGTTGAGACTGTACTTGAACTACTTGGGTCACGTTTCTCATGTTGACAAAACTGAGGACATGGGGATAGGTGTTAATGAACGAGGCGTGGCAGTACTGATGTGAGGTCCTCTGTTTTGTTCCGACCCTCAGCTCGCTCAGCTACTGGCGGAACTGAACTCTATGCCAGATCTCTTCCCAGTACGAACCCCGAACTCCGCTTCTGTAAGTAGAACTCCTTTGTAATTCCTGATGCCAGCACTGACAGACGGGATCTGTTGCCAGACGGCTTTTATTCAAGGCAGCTCCCCTTGCAGTGGTCTGTGCTCTTCTTGCTTGCAGAAGAAGAGGGCCTCGAGGCGGGCGTTCTCTGAGGGACAGGTCACCCGGCGCACCAACCCGGCCCGGAGCGCACGGCCTCCCGAGAAGTTTGCCCTGGAGAACTTCACCGTCTCAGCAGCCAAATTTGCGGAAGAGTTCTACAGTTTCAGGAGAAGGAAGACGATGAGTGGGGTATTTTCTGAGCACCACAAACAGGTTATTCTTGGTCTAAGCCAGTGCTGTGGTCTTGACCCGGCAGGCGTGCTGCTGCGTGGGCATCTTTATCACGTTCCCAGGCAGCGCTGGTGTTCCCGCGGCCACGCTCAGGGACGAACCCCCCCACTCCGACCTGAGCTGTAGGCTGGAGAGCGCCCTCCACCTCGGCCGAGCAGAGGAGCTGCTCAGGGTTAAGACCCTCAGCGTAATCAGCCAGGGAGGCAACAAAGGCCCATCGAGTCTGCCTTGTGGTTTTGCTGGTGGGAAAGGACAGTAATTCCTCCTCGCCTTTCAGTTTTAGGACAGGGTGTTTTAAGTGCTTTCAGAGTCTGGAGCGAGAAACTAGGTCTTTCCCATTAGCAGGTGTGGCCGTTCACTGTGGTTCACTCCCGTCCTCACAGAGTTTATAGCTGCTGCTGACGATTTCTTGGCCAGGGAAAACCTGGGCTGCTCATTTACTGTTGTATCACCGTGCCGTGAAGGCAGCTGGTCCCATGCCTGTGGCAGGAGCTCTGTAATGAGTGATGCCAGGGGAGTAGAAGGGGGGACATGGTTAACATTATGGTCTAGAGCTTTGTGAGTGAGAAATGATTTTTTTTTTTTTTAAGGTTTTATTTGAGAGAGAGAGAGCATGAGCTGGGGGGGGTGCAGGGTGGCACAGAGAGGGAGAAGCAGACTCCCCACTGAGCAGGGAGCCTCACGTAGGACTTGATCCCAGGTCCCTGAGATGAGGACCTGAGCTGAAGGCAGAGGCTTAACCGCCTGAGCCACTTAGGTGCCCTCATAGTGTGAAATTTTTGTGTTTTTTAACCAGTCAAAACAGCTTATGCCAGGTTCTGCTTTGGTTCGTTTTATAGGGGAAATGCCAGGGGTACAGACGGCGTCACCGAATATCTTCTTTTCGGCCAGTGGAAGATATCACTGAAGAGGACTTAGAAAATGTTGCCATAACTGTTCGAGATAAAATCTATGATAAAGTTCTGGTAAATTATGTATAACAAATAATTCGCATGCTTGTGATTCTAATGGGGAGTCTGAGTCAGTGGTATTTGAAATCTTGCATTGTCTTTAACTCATACCCCCAGGCCTTCTCCCCTCTGACAGGGAGGGTCAGCTGTGACTGGGAAGGGGAAGCCGCTTGGTGTAGGAATTCTCGGAAAAGGTCTCTGGGGGATGCATATGATCCTTGGGAAGGCAGGCATATAGTTTGGAAAAGCACATTTAGAATAGTCACATTTTAAGTACTCTTTAGGGTGTTCATGTTTTAAACATTGGAAAAGCATACTGTGGGGGTTTTTTGTGTGCTTTTTGATTCATATAGCCATGGAACTAGTTTGACAGAGTATCTTCAGTCAGTAGGAAATGGATTAAATATTTTTTTATGAAACAGTGATTCAGAGGGAGGCTTTGTGGTGGTATGCATCGTTTTTTTTTAGATGAGGCAGTGTCCTATTACTTAAGGTCAGTGTCCTATTAATTAAGGTAGTAAGAGGTTTTTACATGTCAGCATTTTAACACCAAGAAATTGTATTCTGAAAAGACCCAGATTCCCGGAAGCAAGGCCGGAGCCCCGTGCTGCTGCCTGGGACTCATGGCCACTGGGCCCCTGTCACCGTCTGTGGGCTCTTCCTCCCCTGCCTCACGGCTTTCTGCTGGTCTGATCATGTCCTTCCTTCCGGGCTTCTAGACAGGGCTGTGGTTTGTGCCAAAGAGGCCGTGCTGCTTCGTGCGCCGACGAGCGTACATGGCCGCATGTGGCCTTTTGGGTACCACCCTCTAAATCCTGTCTTCCTCCCTCAGGGCAACACCTGCCACCAGTGTAGGCAGAAGACCATCGACACCAAGACCGTGTGTCGGAACCAGAGCTGCGGCGGGGTGCGAGGACAGTTCTGCGGGCCGTGCCTGAGGAATCGCTACGGGGAGGATGTGAGATCGGCGCTGCTGGACCCGGTAGGCGTTGTGTTCGCTTGTGATGAACTGTACTGGCAGAGAGAAGCAGGTGGAATGAGGGTGCCTATCGGTGACCTGTAGCTGCAGTGCGCTATGCCCCTGACCCAGCACGCTGGAGGAAATGAAAAGTACAGCTTCCTTCTGGAATGAGCACGTTGACCGCTATGACAGAGGAGATGTCTGCAGGGATCAGAGCCACGCTTTTTTACAGTTCTGATTTCGAAGGTGGACCTATGCACTCTCCTCCAGCAGCGGGGTTAGCTCGGGCAAGGCTGGGGGGCAGGGAGGTCACTGTGGAGAGTGCTTCTGGCATGCTGGGCCCTGGTCTAAGGTTTTTTTCTCTGTTAATGTGGTTGGCTAGTTGGTTTAACCTAGCTAGGTAGGTATATACCCTCCCTGTTCCTCAGGTCCTTCTGTAAAATGAGATAATAGTATGGTTAGGATCCATACACTTGAACCTGGGCAGTCTGGCTCTGGAGCCTCTGCCCTCAGTTTGCCCCTGGCCTATGGATGTGGGGTAAACAGGTACTGTCCCCAGTGGGCAGATGAATCTAAACAACTCCGGTGAAGAAGTGGTTTAGGAAGTAGAAGAGCTCGAATTCACACCTCGGTCTCACTGCTCTTTTGTACTCCTCAGATTCTGCACAATTGTTGGTCAGGTTTCTGCCCATGCGGCACCCTGGGTGGTCAGCCTGTCTGGCCTTGAAACAGGTGGAAGAGGGAGACCCATGGAGTCACCGTGTGCTCTTTCCTAGAAGGCACATGGGACTCTAGGCTGGAGGGGCGGGGGCCGGGCCCGAGCGCAGAGGTCATGGGGACACTGTTCTTTCAGGACTGGGTGTGCCCTCCCTGCCGCGGGATCTGCAACTGCAGCTACTGTCGGAAGCGGGACGGCCGCTGTGCCACGGGGATCCTCATCCACCTGGCCAAGTTCTACGGCTACAATAACGTTAAGGAATACCTGGAGAGGTGAGTGTCCCAGACCACGACCACGGCAGAGATCCCAGCACCGGCAGAGTCTTGAGTGCCATCCATCCCGTGTCTGCTCGGGTGGCGGCAGCTCAGGACTGTTGTTTGCCTTGTTAGGACGTTCCCTCCTTTGCTAGAATTTTCATCTGGGCACTGCCTGTTTCCCCCTCGTTGTGTAAAATGGGGAGCGGCAGAGAGGGTGCAGGCCGAGCAGAGCGCGGTGGGTGGTGTGCTCTGGGGAGGCTGTGCTCACCTTCTGGGGCTGAGGAAACAGCCCCGCAGTCCCGAGCGCTGTTCTGGAGTGAGACCCGGGGCTCCTGTGGCCTGGCTGCAGGGTCTCCTCTCACGGAAGCAGGACGAGGCAGGACCGACCTTGCCTTGAAGATCCGGGCTTGGGCTCCCCACTCTCCGTGAGGGCTTGAGCCTAGGATGCACCTTGTGTATGCCTCCGTCCCCTCTGTCTTTCAGCTTACAGAAGCAGCTGGTGGAAGACAATTAAGAGAAGAGCCAGCCCGCTCACCGTAGAGCACGCCGGCCGGCCCTGCCATGCCACTTGTGCCTAAGATTTCTTACCATTGCGTTTTTATACAGAAATTCTTTGTAGACCTAAATGCTATTTTTTTTTAAGATTGTCTAAAAAGATTTCTCAGGAAGACGGCACAGCAGAGGAAACTCTATACATGTATCTGCAGGCCCCTACATATATTGAATTGTTTAAAAGCACCTGTTTACGATGGAAAAAAAAGTTTAAATGGGGTGGTGTTAAAGTCCAGGTAAGTTCCAGAGAAAACATTGTAAAAGCAGCTCTTGCCTTTGACACTGTTTATCTGTGTGGCCTCGATCTTCACCTCTAGTCCAGGACCACATAGTTAACCCTTCTCTGGGTCATTGGAATTTGTGAAAGAATGTTCCCCTAAATTACAAAGTGCAATTATTCGTAGATCTTGTGAGTACTAGTTTTTTATTTTTATGGAAACTTGAATGAACAGAAAGTAGACTGTCACCTTTGCAACACTGGAGGCCATGGGGCCCTGCTGGCCGGCGGGAACGGCTGCCCCTTCATTCAGGAGTCACCTGCTTGCCAGACTGTAAGAATGTCAGGGCTCATTTTTAATTTAAAAAGATTTTGTTTAATGTCTGCAAGAGCTAAAATTCCCCTTCACTGATGGGGAGACTTTATTAAGGATGGTGTTTAAACAAAATTAAGGCACATGTATGTTACTTCAAAGTTATCTAAGTGGGAGGAGGTTTGGTAGCTCTCAGTAAAGTAAATTAACGTGTATGGACCCCAGTGACCATCCTGGCTGTGGCCCCTTTTCATGCTTCGAGCAGCAGAGCCACACCCGCCAGGACCCACTTGGTGGTCTTATCTTGGCTTTTCAGCCGGAAGGTCCACACATAGTTAGAGCCCCTCATTTTGGTTTTATACACGGGACATTCATACGTGTGTTTGGTTTCCTGTCTGTCCGCGGGGATGGCTTTGGCAAAGATGACGGGCATCACCGATGTGACCTCCTGGAGGCAGGCTTCTGCAATGGTTCCTGACTGTGTGTCCCATCGGGCACCTACGGAGAAGACACAAGAGTTGCAAGAATGTGGCATGTGGGTACCGCTCCTCTCCTGTTGGCGGCAATAAATGTTTGGTTTTGGCACAGTTACTTCTTGTCAGGAGCTTTCTTGCCACTGGGGATGGGGAGTGGTGGTAAGCAGGGCTCCACACCTCAGCTTTCCTTTGAAAAAACTACACTGAAATTCAAAAGGTCTAAAATTTGCATGAAAACAGATTCTATAGGAATCCAGGTACAGTATAGCTAATGAATTTGTCCTCAAAATAATGTGACTCTAATTTAGCACATTCCCTCTTAACCCCCGTTAGAGATTCTAAGGGCTTAAAGAAGTCTTGTAGTAAAAAAGCAGTGAAGTTGGTTTTACTTAAGATTTTGAATTAAATCTGCATCTTCATCTCGTGTTAACACCACAGAGTAAGTTAAGGCCTGCACTGAATTGACAGCCATCAACTCAAATGCCTTAAGATTGGGCTGACCTTGAACACAGAACCTGGTATAAAATTTTGTGAAACTAGGAAATGAGGTAAGCAAGTATTAGAGAAAAGTAACTGCTGAGGAGTAGAGTAAACAAGGGCAAATGCCAAGCCAAATTTAAGAACGGGCCTTCAGGTACTACCCCTACATGGGCTCCTCGGGGTAGCTTACCTTCCAGGACGAGCCCGTGGAGATAGGCACCTTCCCGTGGAGGATGGCCATAATCTTCCTTTGTTTTCTTGGTGACCTCAACAGTCAAGCTCATTTTATCCAGTGGCCACCCATTTTTTCGGGCCATGGTCTGCATGATTGCTGTGGGAGGACAAGGAGGAGGTTGTGTGAAGGTTCACAGGAGCCGCTGGTAAGCCGGCCATGGCCGCCACCCTGCGACACGCTCCCGGCCCTCAGGGGGGCATCGGGCTGCGCTAGACCAGTGCTGGCAAATGCCTGCAGGACACCTGCCCTGCTCTTGTGGAAGAACTTTACTGGGACAGCCATGCGCCATGGTTACCTATCATCTGGTTTGGCGCTGGCGGAAAATGTTTACCAGAGTGAACTACATCCCATTTCACGTGGCCCTTCCACTTGGAGTTTTCCTCCCTCTCTGTGCCCCTTTGCTGGCCCCTGCGTGAGCCCTGGGGAGCAGGGCAAGGGGGCCAGCAGCCCTTACCAGTTAGGAAGGACTCGGGGTTGAAGAAGCCGGAAAGCCACACCACAGCTGGGAGGGCAAGATCGTGGGTCCAGGTTTCGAGTTCCCGGCACCGTGAAAGGAGGTCATTAAACCTGGTAAACACAAGGCAGGGAGACACAAACGTGCTTTTTAGTACGAGTTTTCCAATCAGCTGAGGTAGATTCAAGGGAAGATAGGACAGACACACCACTGATAACCAAAAACATCCTTAGATTTGCAAAACACTGTCCCTATAAAAAGCTTGATTTTGTTTCCTGTTGAAATTTTCTAACTATTACCATTAGGGACAGGAATCGGGAATGTGGAAAATTCATGTCCACCTACTGAGTGACTTTAGGGATGGGTGGTGATCACCATAGGTAGAGTGTGGACAGGATGCGAGAAGGCAGGGGAAGGCTGCTGGGAAGGGCGGGGACAGTACAGCTGTGGCTGGGGTCTTACCACTAACAGTTGTCTCCTGAAGAGGGGAAGACCGGTAATGAAGAGAAACAGCACCTCCCTCCCAGCCTCTACCTGCCTGTGGTTTGAGAAAGTGCTGTTTTTACCCAGGTTCCGAACTCATCAGCACAACAATTACGCAAGGGAGGCTACAGGAAAATGACACTCCGATAAAATCAAACACATCAAGCTTTGAAACGTAGAATTGAGGGCTGCCCGAAAGAAAGGGAAGATGGAGCAGGGGTATGAGATGGAAGACTGTGCCAAGATCAAAGCCAGCAGGCAGTTCCCCAAGGGCGGGACACCTAGGCTAGCTCCCAAGTTTTCTGGGATCTGGTTGGGTTAAGGGTCGCAAAAGCAGCAGGGATGATGTTCAAGGAGAAACCTGGGTCACAGCCAGGAAAATCCCTGCTCTTAGAACATGGCCCTTGTCCTGCCCAATTTAAATTCTTTCAAATAGCTGCTTTACGGAAAACCTACTTGAAGACAGGAAGGTGAAGAACAGGAAGAGATAGGAAAAGAAAAGACTTTTCATCTAACAATGTTGCCACAAGGGGATAGGCATTGTAGCCAATTTCCAGTAGGTTTTTAAACAAAAATGATTGCTTGTTCAAGTAGGATTAAGGTTTGGAAGGTAAGAAAAAGGACATTAAGTAGAAAGAGTTCAGAGTAAGCATTTTAAAATGAAATGGGAAAAAGGTTGAAAACAGTTTTAGGAAATTTGAGTTTTTCTCAATTACAAATTTGACTCTTAAATTGGACATGCCGTGTTTCAGGAAAATTGGGCAATGAATAATCAATACTAAGATACAGCTTAATACAGACTGAAGACGGAATCCTCCCAGGGAAACAGCCTTTTTTTCCCTTCTCTGAGTCCGCTGCAGACACCCCCACAGCAGCATTTGATAAGAGAATACTGTGCTGCCTACAAAGCCACCCAGCAATAATAAGGTTAATTTTTTTTTTTTTAATAACCAGCCAGCCTGTCATTTGAATATAAAGACAACGGAATATATGGCATAAAAAACTTGCACCAAATCTAACAAACAAGAAGGTTGATAACCTAGCAAATAAACATAAGAGGAATCTAGGGGGAAAAAAGACTCTTTGATAGGTTTAAACTCCTAAGAAACTAGAGTAATAGTCACAAAAACAGGAATTTATGGAACCAAGCCTGATACCTCCCCAGCCCCCCATATAAAGAACATGGAATTGCGAAAATTGGTTTTGGACAATGAAATGTTAAAGGGCAGGGGGAAACACAGTAAATTGGAAAAAATAGAGTCCTCCCCCGCCCCCCAAACCCCGGACCAATGAAATCAACCAGGGTACAGCAGAACAAGACAAAAGATTGAAAATACAAGATTTCAGGTAGGTAAATACAATGAAGACAACAGGGGAAGGCAGTACTGGGAGAGAGCTAAGAATTTTTCAGAGTGGAGGCAACAGGCAGACAAACCTACACATTTACAACCACACGGTACTAATGGGGATAGGTTTTAAAAAGTCCACACCTAAGTAAAGGAGTAAAGTTGTATAACATCAAAGATGAAGAGAAAAATGTTAAAAATGTCCCAGAGAAAAGAGTTAGCTGTGAAGTGATGACAGGTACATTTACAGTCTCGTTGGCTATAATAAATGCCAGCAAACAATGGAGTTACCAAATCACAGGGCTGAGAAAAAATCATGGTATCCTAGAATTGTACATGTAGGTAAACTATGGAGCAAGAGTGAAGAAAATTCAGACACACAAAGAGCCCTGTTTACTCCCCACCACATAAGCTGAAAGCCCGGTTGTATATCTTATCCTTTAGCAGGTAAGAGGACCCAGAACAAAAGAGCCCAGAATGAGCTATAAAAAGCAACAATGAACAAAGAAATCAACGTATGTTGTTAAAGTGAAAATAATTGACTAAAAACAAAACAAAAATACTATGGTTTAAAGTAAGGTTGAATTACAGTTGCAGACCAGAAGAGGCTGATGTTCCGAGGGAGGTTAAAAGTGTTTGACTTTACATTGTGTTAGAAAAATCAAGTGTGTAGGTTACAATGTAGTGTCTCTGCTAAAATAACAGGAACTGTACAGGGATAAATATGGAATAAAGAAAACTATTAGGGGGTGCCTGGGTGACTCAGTTGGACATCTGACTCTCGATACCTGCTCTGGTCTTGATCTCAGGGTCCTGAGTTCAAGACCCACGTTGGGCTCCACACTGGGCATGGAGCCTACTTTAATAAAGGAAAAGTCAGGGGAGGGGAGAGGAACCCAGACAAACTGACAGAAGCTGGAAAAAAATTGGAATAAATGAAAAATACAGAAATCAGAAAGCATAAAATAAGATGGAAGTGACTCCAAAAATTACCATTATTATAAAATATAAGTGTAATATAAATATTTTTAATTGGAAATATAAAATCTGATTTTGGACATCCATAGCGTTCACAGAAATCCAGTGAATAGCTCTGTTCACTCTTCCCCACCATGGTTATTTGCTGTCATCTGTGTCCCTTCCACATTGCCCCATCCATTATGTTTGCACATGTCCCACACAGCCAACACCTGGCTGCC